TATGGCCCGGCACTTTGTAAACAGCGCCTATAGCCTAGGCAAACACATCAAGGTCAGGTGCATCAAAATAGCGAAATTGCATCCACTGCCAAGGTAGTCAGCAGACACATGCAAGAAAACCGCACGATATCACAATACGTATATTCGATTGGTTACAATTTGATAATTGTGAAAAAAGTGCTTGATTTGCGTGAGTCGAAGGTAGCCAAGCAGTCGTGTTAGGGAACCCCATCTCAGTAATTTGTCACACTTGGCGGGGAAGGTCATTGTTGGTGGCTGGTTCACATCCTTCAGGGACTAACAACCCGATCCCATTTCAAACTGTAATTCGCTATCACACACGCTACATCTCGTGCTTAAATTCGCCAACTCTTCCACCTCTAGACCAGGGAGTTCCCCTCCACGGACTCCCTCAACATCGTGGTCGTGGCTGAGCGACTTCGAAGTGGTCTCCACGATGTGCTGGACAGGGCCGTGTCCTCGTCCGCTCCGGACACAGACGATTCCACGTTCGGATTGTATTTGTCGAAGGCAGCCACGGACATGCTGAACGAACCCTCCATGGAAATCGACTCCACGATCAGGGACCTTTTGATGGAAGTCGACGTTCCTGGAGCGTGTTAAGATATCTCTATATTTTCTACCTATACATCCACATATATATTTTTTTGGTGTAAACTGGTATTAATTAAATCTTTTTTTATACTATGCCACCATGTTATTGTGGCCTGCTTGAAAAACGCCACTACAGTTCTCATTAGTCTCTGCATTGAATGTCGTAGGATTAGTTCAAATGCTTCAGGTTTGGGTGTAATTTCCATACCGGCCAGTTTTGGCTGTACGTTCAGATGTCACAATTAAGGCTGGTAAACATACACGAAGAACAATCCTCACTGATCGTAGTGTTTACGCGTTTTTTGTGGAGTTACTAACTACCGCTGGTCGTGACTTATCACCTCGTGTGGTGACTATCAAAAAATACTGTCTTCTAGATGTGACTATTCGATTTGGCTCGGTGTCTAATTGTTGTAGTAAATGTTTGTAGACTCGAAACCTTTGAATAAGTGGGCGTTCCCATTGTCCCTGCCTAGAGGTAGACTGTCTCTCTGGGAAATTGGCTCTCCCCTCCATAGTTGCTAGTAGACTAGACGAGGTCGTTGAGAAGTGCCACGTTTGTGGTGGTGGTGATGTTAGCCTTTTGATTTGAAGTTGGTCGATGAGGTTGGCGTCCAACGTCATACCCGTCAACAGACAATTGCAAGATATCGCGCGATAACTCGTACCGTATCATATTCGATAACTGTGAGAACTGAGTTGCCGTAAGATGGGTGTTACATGGTGAATCGAGGGTAGCCGGCAGCCACGTTGGAATCACATTCCACGAATGCGAGGCCAATTAATGGAATGGCAGAAAGGCATTGTCGTTCTGATCCTTCAGTACGTAACGACCCAACCTAGTCCGAAAAAAATCACAACCCCAAGCAGAAAGTCTGGTTGTGCTGAAAACACTTTGTTGCAAGTAAAACGCTGAAGTGACGTCCTTCCCACGTAGAGGCTACAAAACTAGGCGGAATTCCACAGACTACGACGAGCAAAAGCAGCCTTAAAAAAAGATTAATCGCTTTCAAAGTAACAGAATTCAGTCTTCCTGATCCTCATAAATGGTCACAATAACCTGTTGATTAGATGTTTACTTCATTTAACCTTGGATCAAAGCTTCCAATGATATTGCTGGGGTCTTTCCTCTGATTGGCTGTTCGGTGAAACGTTTTCAAAATGAATGTGCTTTCTTGGGTTGTTATTGGTTGGTTATTCTTCTGTGACATTGGTGGACTTTATTTTCTACCCGAATCAAGACCACACAACTGAAAATGTCTAACTCGAACAGGACTATCAAATTAACACCGATAAGATCTAATCTGGCTGGCAGGTTTGGTTAACTGTCGACGGCAATCAAATTGTTGGATGCTTACCTCCGATTCCCTCTCATTTGATTGGCGGAGACTTAAAGGTCACTACTCAACAAGTGCATCTGAGATTACACCATATCGTGCTTCAGCAGGTGTAGATACGTGTTCTTAAAGGCTTTTTGGGTTTGAAAAGCGTCGGGGCTATTGATTGGGGGGATCGAAATTCGCGCCAGACCAGTAAAACAATAAATGACGGGGTGAAGGTCAAGCTTACGAAAATCGCATAATGATTAATACTTCCTGCTAAATGATGCATGAAGTGTAGTCTAGATTTCATATCAATTTGCTGCGAGGTAAATTCAAGGAGATTCTCATTGGTCAATCGAGTGCATGCCAGGTTCATTGACATCCAATGAGCTGTGTTCATGCGGGCAGTTTAGGCCGCCACTATCCGCCAATCAATCAGTCGTTTGATCATCCAAAGATTTGCCAGTTAGTTTGATTTTTTTACATGACTTGACGCCCTGCTTACTTCTGATTCACCCCGCATTTGCACGACAAGAACTCTGGCATAATCTCCTGCCAGTGGAAATTTGTTCACAATGTCGTCCTTTAGATTACTATCAAATTTTCGATTTGTGAACACCGTCTGGCACGTCTCCTTTACTGATGTTCTGCTGCTAATTACGTATTTGAGCAGAAGCACCTTTCGGAAACACACAACTCTGTATTAATCTGTTTACTTGCGCGCGATTTCTCGCATACATTGAAACAAAACAACGATGTGAATGGGCACGTCTCTTAGGTGAGAAGCAAACGACAGGGAAGTAGATGATGGTGATGGTGAAAAAAGAGAGAAAGAAGAACACGGAAAAGCATCAGTTAGTACAGACAGGAGTGAAAGCAATGACCTTGAAATGTTTAGGGTTGAAAGGGTGGGAGCTGGCGTAGGTACACGCTGAACGCGGACCGCGCGGCCGCCCTTTCTCCCGCCTAATCTATGATCATTCGCTGTTTGCCCATATTGAGTCCGGCTTGACTTGCGCCCTTGTTCGAGCCGTACTGCAAGCTGACGTGTTTCTGACTCTCCTTCAGCTGCTCCTCTGTGAATTCGCGCTTGTTTTCTGTGGCGAGCTTGGGGCCAAGGGTAGGACCAGTGAACTCTGGATGGGTCTGGCACTAAAAATCAAACATATTTTTTTTTAAATCCATGCTCAAAACCTACTCTTTTCGTCAATTTTGGGCTTCTGAACCCGTTGTAGACCCACCAGGTAGTTCGCTTCAATCTGATTGGCTTCCGTGACCACCCTTGACGGTTCATTGGTTCTTACATACCGTTCTGATTATGGAGGTAATTGCAGCTGCACTATTTTGGCGAAAACTCGCTCTTCGACCCACCTCATTGGCTGGACACACAAGACATGACAGTTGTGTGTGCACAGGCAACTGACAGTGCTTATCTGAGTGTTTTTACGCAAAAACGCTTAGTTTAAGTCAAGTGATGCATTTGCCTGACGTGCAACTGTAAACGTGTTTGCGGCACCATGATAGTCAGTGGACATTATTTTCGCACGCATATTTCGCTTGTTTGTTCCACTTTTCGAAAAAACACGTCCCCTTCTCCCACAGAAACCGTCTAGTTTGTTTTCCTTGATTTAATCGGGACTATTTCAAATAAGTGATTAAATCGAAAATTATGATAGAACATGTATAATGCAAATTTGACCAAACGTACGGTGCGGCCCAGCGCAAAGATGGTTCTAGTGACCTGAGCGATATCCTTTTTCTCAAAGAGGTCCACAGTCTGGAAGAGGTCTGCCACGGGGACTCCGTAGCTCTTCATTGCCTCCAAGAAAGCACTAATGTTCTCCATGATCTTGAAGGGCATCGTAGCATTCTCGTTAATCTTCTTGACGCTGCCTGGCTTGATTCCGTTCATGAGTCTACAAGGATAGACGCAGTTAAGCTCGACGACTGGTAAAATAGCCCTGCGTCATTTTAAACTCCAATGGAACTCACTTGCACAGAACCGTGCCATCCTTCAAGATATCCTCATAGGGCTTGGAACGATCCAACTTCAGACCGGTGATCGCTTCGATCCAGTCGAGTGATTCATTCTCCTGGTCCTTGTCTCGCTTGCCCTCAAGCTAAATTGAATTTACAACAAACACGGCGCTAATTTTGAATTTGCTGCGAGAACACGCTACCAAATTGCTCTTTGGTACCAGAAATGTGTAAATTAAGAACGGAAAGTATTCAACGAGCAATCTGCCTACCTTCTTTTTGACCTGGTAACTAAGTCCGCTTGGCGGAGGAACGTTCGACATGGTGCTGCTTTTGGCGTCACTACTGGCAGATTAATCCGGCCACCTTGGTTTCCGCCTATTGGGGAAATTGCTGCCCCTTTGCAAATGGCAGCCAATCAGATTGTGGGTGTGCTGTCACCGACCAATCAGCTTGGGAATTCTGGTCATCGATTGGACTAAGGGGGCGAGGGCTGTTAACTGGAAACCTGCGTGATCGCGTCATTTCCTAAGGTTTAGTGTTGCGTCGGGAAGTAATTACTGTGGGGGTTTCTGAATGAAATAACTGGCTCTCTGAAGTCACTTATTGTTGGTTAAAACAAATGTTCAGTATTTGTTCAACATTGTCCGATAATCATCTAAATTCCATACTGAAACTTCACCAGCAGTTATTCAATTCGAAAAAAGGAAAATTTTCATGGTTTTCGAAATGAAAACCACACGTGCTGAATGCTTGCGATAGGAGAAATTAATTTTATCGCCAAACTTTGTCGAATTTGAAATTACACACAAATTTTGGAATGTCCGTAATGATTCGTTTGAATGTGCACTCTGAGATGCACACAATTCCACCGATATGCCGAGATTCTGACTCGACGTAAAATCAACAATTATTGATTTTTCCCTACGCCATGCCTGGCGTCGTGAACAGGCGGCTCTACCCGCTGAGGTGGACTAATGCCGACAATCAAGCGTTTTCATATTCGTTTATTAAATTTTCAAAACAAATTTTTCTTAAATTCTGAGCCCTTCCCTTCACTCAAAATTTTTCAGTGCTAAAATAATTAATGTACCGATTTGTTGGCTGGGTTAAGGCCCAGTAAATGTGTTTTTGGCATGTGTGACGCGGCTCATTGAAAGTATGAAAGGTAACGTTGTATTGCTTCAAGTGTCAGAAAATGCCTTTTTTGTAAAACGTTTCTGTTAAAAAACGATGCTATTTTTAAGTGAATCGAGGCGCAAAATTAATCAGCATGTCTTCTATTTGGGTTCGGCTGGAAAGAGAAGTGGGATATCTCTTCTTTTATAAATCTACTGCTCAAAATACGTCTAAAACCAGTTTGATAGCTATCGATGGTGGAGGTTTGGATCAAAGAGAACAATGCGTGCCTTGTTGGAGTGCGTGTCTACTTACTCCAGAGAAAAATCAGGCTTCCATTAGCATATTGTTGAGGTGATAATGGAAAAATTTAGAATCACAAGCTACACCTTTAATTGTGTTGCGCTTAGCTACGAGTTAATTATCAGTCCAGTCCAGACCTCGTGGTGAAATTGCACATCGGAGGGTCTCAAAAAAAGGGGCTACAAATTCAACCAATCCGCTGACTGAAATTGTCTCACTGCCTCATTGGTAGAGCAGCAACCAACCCCAGGCAAGAGCAGCGGCTGGTCTGTGGTGCACCAATAGGGTTCGGTCTTATGTGTTTGAGCTCATAGTTAACCTACCTGCTCACAATGAACTCAGAAGCGGGAAGACAATATTTGGTTGAAAGAAGTCAAAATTTTCGTACTGCATAGGTAGAGCATAATATACCGCAAAAGGCAATTTAAATTGCCGCATTTTTATTAAAGACCTAACTAAGTGGAGCGCCATTCGTGGTGTTAAAGCTGCAGACATGGATCGCGCAATGTGTGCAAAGTCATCATTACATATTTGGACGTTCCCACACCGATACTAAATCTGTCGTAAAACTAAAAGTCTCCAAGTTTTCTACCAAATCGTTTGGAGTCATCAAACAAGATTCACGAGATGGAGACATGGCTACTGCGTGTCCGAACGATAAAGTCGATAACGTTCACGCACGGGAGTACTCATGGTCTCAAATCAGGATTCTTCCACTGACTCTAGCCAATCGGATAAGCGGACAGTAAGGCGGGCAATTCAGACAGGGTCGTTTTGCTTCCAGGAGGAAGGCTTCCTCCATCACTACCACCTGTAGAGGGGACTTTATGTGGAACTTGTAACCACTGACGGAGAACACAAACTCAAATGATAGGTGTGTTGCTTTCAACTTAAACCAATAAGAACATGCAGATAGTTCATTTGGCGACTTGTAGAAGACATCAGTTAGCGGAACAACGGTGGGAATGTCTACTTAGGGATAAGGAATTTACCCAATTATCACCCATCAACGGTTGTTTACGGTAAAGTGCTGACCAACCGAATAGCTTTGTTGTGTTCGAACAATTAAAAGGTTAGACCAAATTCCCCGAAGGAGGATTGTGGCTCCGAGACCAAGCCGACAGCCAGACTGAAGGAATTATTAAACCATCTACAGTTACCTCAAAAAAGATTTGACAGGTATATTCCCACTGTACGGTCTGCTGCAAAATTAACTGGCCCTTGGATTGCTTGTCTTCGGGGTGCTTAGGACCAGTTAATTGTGGATTCTGACTAGCTAGACTGAATTTCCGTTCCACAACAACATTTGCACGACGTGAGTAGAAATTCGTAAACTTTTTTACAAGAAAATCCAAGTATTCACCTTGTTTTTCATATAGTGACTCAGTTTACCTCGGTGTCGTGGGTTTTGGGGTGCTGAATGTGCCTTTTTAAGAGACGTTAATTAAGCGAATGATGAAATTTAGACCTCCAAAAACGCATCATAGATTTAGCACAGCATGTTGAGTGTTCGAAATCGCGAGAATACTAATGATCGCGTGTAGATTGGGGCAGTTCAGTGGCATTGTACGGGAACAGCCTTCCCAAATCTCCCATTTTTCCGGTTTTTTGTAAACATGGTGCATGGTTACTTGCAGCACACGAACCGTAATTTATAACCGTGCGCGTTATTGTAGCGCATACATGCACAAATAGAACTAGGCAAGTCGCTAGTTGAACGAAGACCGGAAAATCGACAGCTCAACTAATCAAGGCAACATTTGCTGCAAGTCAAGCAAGATTTTTCGAATTTCGAATACGAGTTACTGGAGAACATGAACTAATTTGTAGCGAACAGGAATTTGCCGCAGTGGAGAGAAAATGCGAGCGAAAATGCTGGTTCTTTCACTTATTATTATTATTCTTCTGCCTTCAAGGTCGCCGTATTGATTGCGGCGTTTAAATGTGTGGACAATAAGGAAAGTTCCACATTTGCTATACTTCTCTAGTGCGGTCAACTTATACACCAACTCGGGCGTTTTGAACTCCAACAACCGTATTTTACCTAGAATTTTTTTATTCCCGCATCTGCTGAGTAGTGACCCTAATTTACTCAACAATTGAAACAAAGTGAATCAGAGGTAGCGGAGAGATCGAAGCAAGAATATTCCGGTGTCCAAAAGCTGTTATATCGACGATTTAATGACCGACTGCATCTGACGGCAAACCATGTACTCTTTTCACAATTATCAAATTGTAACCAATCGAATACACGGATCGTGATATCGTGCGGGTTTATTGCAAGTGTCTGCTGACTACCTTGGCTGTGAAGGCAATTTCGCTATTTTGATGCACCTGACCTTGATGTGTTTGCCTAGGCTATAGGCGCTGTTTACAAAGTGCCGGGCCATATTTTCTTGCGTACTTTTAAATCTACCAGTTTATGCGATTTGTGGTCACGAGACCTTAAACTAGCTCCTACTTCGGAAACCATTTGTGAATAATACGCAAATTTTCATGTGATATGCAGAAAATGGTAGTTGATTGAATGCAGAGCCTCACTGGCACGTAATGATAATCGAAGATTAAATCGATTTTTAATTGATTTCTGTTTGATACATAAGTATGAAACAGTTGTTTAGAAGATAACCAAGACCCACACACGCAGGGACAACGGAACAAGAATTCGTGGGAATTGTGCTTAAGTTGAGCCAATGAGGTTGGTGCGGCTGATTTGAATTCAAAACTGGGCTGATCATAATTACAAAGGCAAGGCAAAAGCATTAACTTGAGC